AGATTGATGGCAAACATGTACACAGCCTTTGCCGTTTAGAGATTTTGGGGTTGTTCAAGAACTTCAGGGGCAGCCTGGGCTTCAGAAGCGGAAGCAGCATGGACGCCGATTTGCGCAAGTGTGCGCAAGAAGCCTTGGACAATGGGCCTGATGAGGACGAGCAGTCAGAAAGTGGTTGCAACTGGATTGGTGGAATCTTGTTGGCCTGGACGTCTCCTCCAGTGGTCCGCGATGTGAAGGCTAGTGTCCAGAAGAATTTCCGAAGGCCGATCTCTCCTGGTGATGTTCTTCACTCAGTGAGTGGACAGGAAGTGGAGAACATGTCACGTGCAGACATCCTTCGTGCTCTCACCCGTTTTGATGGCGGGCTTGGCTTTCGTGCGAAGCAGGCCGCCAACATCAGTCTGGCGGATTTGCTTCGTCGCTTAGGAGATTGATCCTGCAGAGCCCTACTTGCAGCTCAAGCGCTGATCGGTGTAAGTGGCTAGTTCAGGTGCCCATCCTTGCTTGCCACATGCTGCCAGCGTCGGTGTGCAAAATGGTGTTTGATGGTTTGCAAGTTGATTTTTGTTGATATGTCTGTATATTACTTGAGACTTCCGAATCGAACAGTTTGGGCCGATCCACAGAGCAAGCACCTTTTCACACCGTATTTCGCGCCACTGTGCCGAAGCAAATGCTGTACAGCAGCTGATTGTGTTTTGTGCAGTGACCATCAGCGCCCATTTGCTTGCACGTGAAGCAAGTTGCTCCGGGAAAAGTGCTTGAATACAGTGAGTACAGCAGATGTGTGCAGTGTGAGGGTCAAGGCTTTGGTGGTGTTCTTGTAGCTGTAGCCAGGTTCCACTTCAGAACGTTCTCTGCAGCCCACATGACCTGGTCTGTGGGCAGATGGAGGCCAGGGTTGCTTGCTGTCACCCTGAGTTGCCACTAACAGTTAACACTGGCTGTTTTCCTTGTTCATGAGGGCACTACTTTGTGGTGGTGAAGTGGTGAACGGGTGAAATGAGTTGGCAAACGAAGTCCTTGAATTACTTGACTTTTGCTTTGCCAGGTACAGGGAAATGACATACTGACGTGGTGTAGTTGGTACGGTCATGGTATGTCTACTAGTGTGGCGAAAGGGTGAAACCATCCCCTTCCACGGCTGAGCCGACGGATTTTGGACTGAAGACGCACCGGCGCGTTACCCTGTTCAGGTCGACCTTCAGAGGGGCTTTGTGGATTCGGTTGAGAAAACAATCGAACACCTTTTCAGCCTTGCAATTTGTTATGTTTGTTCATTCACGTTTGAACCGTTTGATTCTTTTGCTTCTTGAAGTTGAGCAAGGCTGTTTGTTTGAGTGGAGTCAAACTGTTTGCTTCTCCAATCTCATTTGCTCAAAGATTCGCGCCTGCTGCATTTTGCTGCCATACATGTTCATTCTTCAAGTGGCAAACTTCACCTGAGTTCACTAGCATTTGTTGTCATTCTCAATTTGACATTTCGAAGCCGAAGCCAACATGTGCACAATATTAGTACGCACACTTGATAGGCCTTCGGGGTTTTAGATTTTAACAGACAACCTTGAGGAGAACACAGGCTTTACTTGCAGTCCTGTTTTGGTTGTTTCCGCTCGCCGGCTGCCTTGCTGGGCAAAGAGGCCACACTCATGTTCATGTTCATTTAAGAAGATACTACAGGGGCTTCTCGTGATGTTCATTCGTCAGAAGAGAAGCCATCCGCTACTTTCAAACATTGTGATCTTGATTCAGCCCATGGAATGGATATGATATGAGTGGATGTGATAGAGACATTTCCATAGACAGAGACCACGCATACACAAACACGCACTTGAATCGACGAAAGGCGGATATGGATCAGTTCCAGCCTAAGTTTGTTTATATTGATTAGCAACGGGATAGCTCTCCACTTGCCATCACTTGAGATTTAGCATGGTCTGAAGTTAGGCATGCAAGAGATGTTGAGTGAAAATTGATAGCGGTTGTTTGCAATAACGAACCGGCGCGCAGCCAGGATCATCTCTCGAACAGTACCAATTCCACCCTGAGATTTTGCACATCACTATCATCACTGATATATAATATGCAAAAAAAACTTGTTCGATTCAGAGCCACATGTTGCTTCAAGGCCCTGGTCGCAGGCGAGATGGGTGACGGAGTGTTGAATTGGATACCACCTTGGCTAGATAGACCAGATCAGCCCGTGTACATGTCCAATCAAAACCCCAGGGCCCCAAACAAGCCTGCCCAATGCCCCAGGGTACCAGGGTTTTGGGGTTTCGCGTGCGCAGCTTCGCTTCCTACACTCTCCTTGCTCAATACAGGCAAGTATGGCAGGATGGGTACACAACAACCATGATGGACATCTATGAAAAAAGTGAGCACGCGGTACTCGTTTGATTCACAAATTGATTTGCCCACTGGTGAATTCAAGTCACGGCGAAACCGCAGGCGGGCAAGTAAGCAAGCTCAAATACCGTTTAGCACGGTCGATCTCAGTGTCATTGTCTTGTGATGTAGCAGGGGTTGTCGTTGAGGTCTGAAAAGATTGTGTTACGAAAAAAGTCGCAATGCCGCTGGTGAAAGCAACTGTTTCTTTCACCATTACAGTAGTGTATGTGTAGAGCACAAAGCGCGAGGCAACTTTGTGCTGAGGATTGGATAGACATAGACTACAGCCTGCATGTCAGAGGTCTGCCATTCTAATTTGACTTGTCGGTGAATTCCACGACGTCTTTCTGGGTGATTATGAATGATATTGATGTTTGTCTCTCGGGAAGAGTTTTGTTCCGACTCCATGTTCGCAAAGATTCCGACAAACAAGAAGAACAGACACTACATCGAATTTATCTTGTGCCTTTTCTACAGGCACGCTGCTTTCCAAATAGACTTAAAAGGACAGCAACATCCTGGACGAAAATTACAATTGTTTCTGACATGGATTTGACTTGACATGTTGTGTGAGACCACGCATGGCGGTGCATTCATCATCAGTCATCAAAGGTTTGCATATTCTACTTTGGTGGAAATAATGCTTCCTTTACTTCCAACCCTCGGTGGCCCCAACCTATGGTGCCTGACAGGATGCAACTCCACAGCCATGGAGCCGGTGGCACCTCAGCGAGGGGAAAGGCGTCGGCCTCCTGGTGGAGTGGCAGAACAAGGCGGGACACGGACGCGAACGGGACGCGGGTCCACGGCACGTGTGAGAAATCGTCGGCCTTTTATCAGCTACAGTGAGTCAAGCAGGTGTATGTGCTTGGTGGTTCCCTCACTATCCCCTGAAGCGAAGGCTTTTTTGAAGCGAACGGGACGCGTGCAAACCACTTCCAAGCCAGGTCAAAGCCGATTCTCAATCTCTTGCAAGATATATAGTACTATACAGTACTGTATGTACTAGTATACGATATGGTTTGAACAATATAGCAATATTTTGAACAATATAGCAATATTGCCCAATTGCAACTTTGGAACTGGGATCACCGAGCTTGACTCTAACAAAGAAAGTCATATGGGCCGCATCCAGGTGTGTTACCTTCTGCGACATTTTGCTTGGGTCGATGGCAGTGTTTTGATGGCCAAGTGAAAGACTCGTGTGGGGCAAGATACCCTCAGCGACTGGTGCGCAAGCATAGGCCATAGGCTTCGGGATGAGCACAGTGTACCGCTACTTCGGGAAGATGACTTGCAACTGATACAACATTGCATTGTCGCTTTTGATGTCGCTCAACACCATTCAAGTGTTTGCAATCCGCAATAAGCTTCATATCAGCACAAAGACCCCAGCATTGCCTGACGAGGGCTTCAATTCCTTTGGGTGGCTCTCGCCCATCTATTTGCCACCAGACAGGCCAGGCTGTTTGGAAATCATTGAAGGGGGGACAAAAGTTGAAGGATGGGCACGATTTGGTATGAATCACTAAGGTCAAATTCACCTAGGCACACAAACACAGGGCAAAGACCCTAAATTTCACCCGACGTGCCAGGGATATTCGCGGAAACCTTCACGGTGGAGATGTCTACGTGCACGGCAATGACATTAAGGCAAGATTGAACATTCTGCTCAGTTTTTGCTACTTCATATAACTTATGGAGGTTGTGATGTTGTGCTCCCTTGCATTTTAGGTCGCACGTATGTTCAGAGCCTTCAGGAGCCTCGTTTGGGGAGCATCTATACCTTCACCCTCTATAGCGACAGACAAGGATTTGGTGCACAGGCCGAGAGGGCAGTTGGAATTGGCCAATCAAAAAGCATGCTTGACTGCTTGACCGTTGAAGTATTCAAGCTAGTCAGATGCTTACTTTTTGCTACTCCATCCTTGACAAAATGACAGAGAAATGGCTTGGAATAGATCTAGCATCCAAGGAGTTTGGACTATCTATTTGCAACTAGTAGTAATGCACTTATATAGCTGCTAGTAGCTTCCTTGCTAGTAGTAGCGATGCACCTTGTTACTAGTAGCTTCTTGTTGCTAGTAGTAAGGTGCCTTGCTACTAGTAGCTTCTTGTTACTACTAGTAAGGCACTTGTTACTAGAAGCGATGCACTTGTTACTAGTAGCTTCTATTTGCATGAGAGAGGCACTGTGAATCCGCAACGAGCGGAACACACACTGAGGAGTGCGAACCCCGATCCGTCACAAGGCGGCCACAGTCCAGAGTGCCAACATCACAGCTTGCCTCCTAACGTTGCAATGGTATCGATCCCAATTCAAGCACATCAAAGTGTCATAAGTATACAGGATTTGATGTCCATCCTGCTGTTTGGCTACTACTCGTAATTTGTGTCCTATGTGTTGTTGTTAGGTTCTTAGGTTTAAATTTGGTATAGGTGGGAGGATTTGGTTGTTTTCGTCCTTTGTATTCCCTCGCAGGTTTGCCGTGCCAATGAAGTCCATGAGCAGCATCAGGCTGCCTCCGGAGGAGGTTGGCAGTTTTCAAGGGCCAGTTTTAGAGGGTGTATTTGTTTTGAATGTGCAATCGTTAAGGGTGCAAGCTGTTGTTGCTGTGTTTTGTTGCTTATGCAATTTGTTTGGCAGTTAAGCGTGTTTGGCCTTGGCCGGCCCAGCCTTTGGGGCGGCGCCGGTTGCTTTGGGTGCCCACTAGCCACTAGCAAGATCTTTAATTTAGTTCTTTTGACCTGCTTCTGCAAGTTTTTTGCTGTCTTCATGCATGCTTGACCTCGTACTTCCCGCAAGGTTTGTTCACATGCCTTCTGGATCCTGCTGGTAGGTTTGGGTCTTTGGCTATTCTGTTGTTTTCGAGCCATGCGGAAGGCCTTTTGTTTTGAGTGGTGTGAATGTATTTATCTTCCTTTAGTCTTGCGCTGTTCTTGTGGGTATCTGCTTGAGCTCCAAGCGTCCTGCGTGCGTGGTGCTTCAAGGAAGGCATTGCTATGGCTGAGCTATTTGTTTCATACACAGCTCCTTGGCGCGCTCGATGCTCTTTGAGGTAAGGATGTTGAAGCTGCACGATGCTGCACTTTTGTATGCGCCAGCACCTGTCTTCGGAAAGTCTTCAACAGCTCATCATTTGGTTCCCGCGCGCATTAGACTACAGTTCCTGCAGAGAAACTCTACTCTACTCGTACCACCTCAGTTCCCATCCTGTGCCTGCCTCACCAGCTTGCTGTCGTGGACGCTCGCCGTCGTGCGGCACAATGCAAAAAAAAGAACACCACGTGCAGTGACGTCATAAGACTTCCGTGCTTGCAAGTGTGAGAACATTCCTATGATTACAGTTCTCTTCGCATCCAAATCGATTTGAAAGTTTGAAGTTTCCAGTGAAAGTTTGAACAGTGTGGAGCCTGAAAAGCTGCCCGTGAGTGACTGCGTGCGTGACTGAGTGAGTGAGCGAGCATCTGAGAGCACAAAGTGCTTTGCCTGCCACGAAGTGTGCGTTTCGAGGCTCACAAAGTGCAGCCCTTGCCAAAGAAATCTACACATTGAGGGGTGAGTGACACTCACTCTCACTCACACTCACTCGCGCCCACACTCCCACCCACACTCCCACCTCACTCACACTCACACTCCCTCCCACTCTCACCCTCACTCTCTCCCACACTCACCTCTGCGCGGACAAGTCTGTGACTCCAACTTTGCAAATTTGCGATGCTTCGGAGATGTAGGGTCCAGTGGAAGACAGATAAATTCTGCATGAAAGGGCTTGCGCCGTTTTGGATGAAAGCGACACCAGGCAAGACCTGCCCGGAACTACTTGCGGCAGTCACTTTTCTATCCAGCCTTAGAGGACTGTAGAGCCTGGTCAACTGAATGATCGGCTTATGACTTATGTAGCTTGGACCGATGTTTTTCTGAAGTCCAAGCTACAATGACATGGTGTTCCCAGGAGCAGGGCATCACCCTTCGAAGGCAGAGATAGAAAGAAGAAGAGGAACAGCTTTGTGATCGGAGCTACAGATGGTGTTGCTTGAATTCAGTTCTAGCCATGACGGCACACTTCTGTAAGCCACTGGAAGTCAAAGCTTGGTGGTTGGCATTTCTTGGCTGCACTTGAGTCCTCCAGGTATCTCTGGGGAGACCCCAGTGGATCCTCACTGCACATTTTCGAGCTGTGGGGACATCCAGAGGCTGATGGTCGCCACGGATTTTTTGCAGGAAGTTCTCGAAGCATCCAACCCTCGTCTGTTTTATGGTCGTTCCATCAGGCCATCATCACTGTAGCTGACCAGCTGAACCTGTTGCAGATGGAGGTAGAAGTGTTGTTATCCCCGCAGATGGCGAGAAGGCCCGGGGTTGTTGCCTTCTCCTACTGGATCCCCCAACCAGAGTGCAGTAGTGGAGGTCCCCCAACCAGAGTGCATGGTACCACCAGCCTCGGCAAAGGTCTATTTGTTCGTAGTAATGCCGTTCTAGGATGGCTGTCCTTTTCTCAGCAGCTGAACAAGAGTTGCTTCTGGTTTTGAGCTGATATTTTGCAGGCTGCGTGAAGGACTCAATTTCAAACAACTTGGATACCCGAACTCGCTAACCGCAACCTGAACTGAGAGAGGCCATGCAGACGCTCTGTTTCTAGTGATACCCAGAAAGTGATGTCAGTGATGCTAGTGTTAGACGGTAGCTTTACATGCGTCAGTTGTTTGTTGTTTTATGTTTTTAATTCACCGCCCACAGGTGCACACACACACACACTTGCGGTTCAAGCCAGCCTTTGCAAGCCATTGTTTGACCACATCGAAGGACCCTGCAGGTTGTTTAAAGCACAGCAACATTTTCAATGCTGACCAGGCAGCCAAAGGAGCTGGTGCGACTATTGAGTCTGGAACTCAATTGGAAGGATGACATGTCCAGAACCCCGGCGCCCCCTGACCTAAGGTGCTGACGAGGCACCGCATGTGCCGCCCAAATGCCGATGGGCGTGGAAGCCAAGCGGCCAACAGAGTATGTGACAGTATGTGCTTCCCTTGTTTTGCTTTGTTGGTTCTTGTTCCAGCGAAGCCTTTTTTGGATTCGGCGTATGTCTGCCTTGGTGCTCATCTGAATGCTGATCTTGATTGTCCTGCCCATCAAGGTAACCTTCTAGTGTCATTGGCACTCATGGTTTGCCCTACAACATCAGACCTCATAGATTCTTGCTTGGATCTTTTTGGGACAAACTAGAAGGCCGACGAAAGAACAGGTAGCCCGAAAACCCTTTGTTCGCCAAAAACAGGTCCAAGACATCAAACCTTTCGTTGAGGCAACGTCACTCTCAGCCACTCCTCGTCAAAGGCCGACTGAAAATCACAGTGGAAAGTGGCTCGGGTAGCACGACCTATTGTCATTCAAAACGGTTCTTGAAGCAAATGGAAAGGGCCTAGCAGTACTGTTCTTCCCAAATATTCTGTTTCAGATCGAGCAGAGGCATTGCTTGAAGTTGGGGCACGTGTTGACTTAGCGCAATATTTGCACATTGTTCTACTTCTGTCCATGTTATAATTGAAAAAACACACGCAAACAAACAACAATACCAATTCAGCCCTGTACCGTGCCTGAAGCGCAGGTTGGTGGAGCTTCTGGATTTACTTTGAGCGCCCCGTAAAAGGAGCGTTGCAGTGCCTTCGAGAACATGGCAGACAACAAGGTTGTTCTTTCAAGATCGCGCAGAATTATAGGGGCTGTGGACATAGATTTTACAGAAACATGTTTGGGCCATGGCTCGACTTGGGTTGGGCCATGGCTCGACTCCATGTGGTTTTGCTGCGTTTTTGCGGTGTTTTGCCACTGGGCTCCGAACCCAGTGGCATCCTGAAAGAGAATCCGAGCCGGCGATGCGACTCAGGGAATCCGGTAAGGTTCCACATGGTTGCACCATTCTGAGTGTGAATTCAGTTTAGAGCTGACTAGAGCCGCAGAGGGTAAGTTGAGAAGGGTGGTCGCATGATCAAGCTGTTGCATTTTAGGTGATCCTTCGTTCGATGTTGGATTCCTCTCACCTGTGCAGTGGGTTTTGCTTCCGGCCCACCAAAGGGTTCAGATGTTCAGTCAGATATTCAAGCCAAGTTAACAAATCATGTCAATTATGAGGGAGGACAGCTCCAGCAGAAAGCCGATTTCGCAACTCACAACCTTGAAGCGTGCAAACACACGTAGTGCTAACACTGCATCCATCATGTCATACCGTCATACCCCAACTGATTGCAGCACTTGCCTGAAACTTAGTTGGCATTCTAACGCTGCCGCCAGCGTTTGGAGCTCCAAATCCTGGCTTCCGATGGCCGACAGCAAAGGCATGACAGCTTGCGATGTGTTTTTTGTCAGATTTGTTTGGAACCCAAGCAAAAAGGAACCCAATGTGATTGGAACCCGAGCATTTTGTCTTGGACACTGACCTAGCTGATGGTGTCAAAGCCAACGAGCTTTGCATTTTTGCTTGGAAAAAACGTGCTGAATGAGATCTAAAATGTGATCAAATGAGAGTCTTCTCTCCGCTGTTCAAACCACTGGGGTGATCGATATGCTTTTTTTTGTGGGCCCATCCAGATCGTTGCATTGCTGTACCAACATGACACCTGAAACAGGTTTGCAAGCATGATGTCATCCTGACATGCCACGATGCATTGCGCTGCATAGTCATGCATATGCATCAGAAGGTTTAAGAGTACAGATTGTAGATCTGAGAGTCACTTGACGCAGGTGGAGCCCAGAAGAATGTCTACTGCGATGGGATTTTCGACTTGTGCCACATTGGCCACCAGAATCTGTTCCGCAATGCCTCCAAGCTTGGCACCCACGTGTGGGTGGGAGTTGTTGGAGACAAGGATGCAAACAGCTACAAGCGTCCGCCAATCATGACAGCAGCCGAGAGAGAGGCTCAGGTGCTTGGGTGCAAACACGTGGACAGGGTAATACCCAATGCTTTGTGTTTTGGTATGACGGAAGAGTTTCTGAAGGAGCACGATATTCATGTTTGTGCTGTGGGCCAGGAGTACTTTGATCGATATCCAAATCCTGATGATGATCCATACTACAAAGTCCCACGAAAGATGGGCATCGCTGTCCCGTTGCCCCGTTTTGAAGGTTTGTCAACGTCTGATCTCATACGGAGGATTCGAGAAAGAGCATCACCAGACTGGACTGTAAGCAGTTTACCTTCACCCACAGGAGATGCATTGGGCACGCGGGCGTCAGATGACTACCACAGAAAAGAATGCCTGAGTGAGCCACGAAAGAATGTTTACTGCGACGGTATTTTTGACATGTGCCACATTGGCCACCAGAATCTGTTCCGCAATGCCTCCAAGCTTGGCACCCACGTGTTTGTGGGAGTTGTTGGAGACAAGGATGCAAACAGCTACAAGCGTCCGCCAATCATGACAGCAGCCGAGAGGGAGGCTCAGGTGCTTGGGTGCAAAGACGTGGACAGGGTAATACCCAATGCTTTGTGTTTTGGTATGACGGAAGAGTTTCTGAAGGAGCACGATATTCATGTTTGTGCTGTGGGCCAGGAGTACTTTGATCGATATCCAAATCCTGATGATGATCCATACTACAAAGTCCCACGAAAGATGGGCATCGCTGTCCCGTTGCCCCGTTTTGAAGGTTTGTCAACATCTGAGCTGATTCAAAGAGTGCAAGATCGATTTCCTCCTGATGAGCCTGCGAAGTAAGTTTAAAAGAGACCAGTTGAGCTGATCACGCAAGGCTCACGCCGCACAAACTATTGAGCTGATCCATCCCTATTCCTTTGAGGGTAGGACTGTTGCAAGATTGTCAACAAATTGACTGACATGCTTTGCCAAAAGAGATCGGGGTGCGCAGAACAGTTCAGGTTGTGTCTATTCTATCATGTTCTTGGCTCTTGGCGCATGCCGCCATTTCATTTGGCTCAGGCTCAGACCTTTGCTCTACAACAAGGACATGCACAAGAGACACCCCTCGAAATAGCTCCCGTTGATATGCATCGGGTTTATGTCCACACAGACATGACAGTATGATTGCAACAATTTTTTGGGGTGATCCCTCCAAGAAGTCCACTTTCTGCGAGACACAGTCACTGGAGGCACAGGATTCGACCGGAAATGTGTGGTTTAAGCCAAGGACATGAATGTTGCAGATTCCAATGCAACGGTCAATCTCGAAATTGTCTTGTTTAGTGCTTCGCAAAATGCTTTAAAGGAATTCTTCAGGCCGAGATACACTCAGGATGTTTGGATGCTTCACATGTCTCAACCCCCAACAAGTGCTCTTGAGCGAAACAACCTAAAACAATCTAAAACATTCTAATCATTCTAAAACCAAATACCCTTTAGAGCTGCGAATGGGAAAACTGCCAGGGTGACGATATCCATGATGCAATCATGTGCAATCCATGGCTCGATCCATGATGATTTCCCTAGAAAACAACACATACACACACAAACAGACCTTGAGGGGCTGACAGGGGGGGACCTCAACAGGTCCCCCCTTTCACTTGCCATTCGTCCCTCATTGGATGTCCGGTAACTGGGCGGCCTCCCTGGGCGCCTTGCTGGGCCTCGTGGCTTTGACGACCTTCTTGTGGCGCAGTTGGAAGCTCCTGAGGCGCGGTCCGTGGTTTGGCTCTGAGGCTCTCGGCTCTTCGGGCGGAGCATGGAAGGGAGGAAGTTGGGTTTGTTCTGCAGTGGGTTTTAACATAAAACACATGCAGAAATGCATGTTGTTATCATGGTGCGCTCTTTTGATGAGGAAAAGCAGAGAGAGAGAGAGAGAGAGTTAGAGCAAAAATATATATATATATATATGTATTCAATTCTGACCAGGGCACTGATGGAAACTTCCCAAGTCACAGGAGTTTCCCATTTCCAACCTATCCATAGACTCAGCGTTCTTGTGGAAGAAGCACCTGCAGGAGAAGGGAACTATCGTTGCTCTAGCCCTCATGCTGCACATGCCCATCTAAACCATCATACTGAGTCCACTGCTGTTAAAGCATTTAAACAGAGATGATAAACTGGACATTAACAACATGTTCCATATTATTTGGAATAAATTGTGTTGCAGGAACGATGCATGGAACCCATTATGGAACGACGAAGGAACATGTCTTAATCCAACAGACGACAACGAACAACAAACAACACACCACAACAACAACTACTACTACGACCACCACCACCACCACCACCA